AGTGATATGAAATTGGTGTACCAGGGTTACTTTTACTTTATTTATCTAATTTTATCTATTTACAACCCCAGGTTTCTCTTCAGCTCTGTAGCCAGGCTGACAAACAGTCAGAGCTCTGTTGAGCCAACCATCCCTTTAACGTTAACTAGTAATGACTTCATGAACTTCTTCACAAATAACATTTAATCATTAGAGAAAAAATTACCAGTAATCATCCCACAGATGTAATATTATCTACAGCTACTCTTAGTACCATCGATGTTAAGTTAGACTCTTTTTCTCCAATTGATCTTCCAAAATCAACTTCAATAATTACTTCCTCCAAACCATCAACCTGTCTTTTAGACCCCATTCCTACAAAACTGCTCAAAGACGTCCTGCCATTAATCAATGCTTCAAACTTAAGATGTGACCCTGTGAAGACTCCCCACACCTACTTGCGCCAGGGAGTCCAGCAGTTCACTTAAACAAACGGCTCCTATACTTAACCAGACACAGAGTAGGTGTCCTCCTACACCATAAATCGGTAAGAGAAGGTACGACCTCTCTCATGACCCCAAGTTGTGTGTGCATGCCAGAGTGCTCTGGGAGGCACACAGAGTCTTTGCAGACTGCAAGGATCAGACATCCTACCATTATGCAATCAACTATAAAACTAAGCATATATGACAATCCACAATATAAACCTAACACGCAGCTCTATCTGTCCATGAAGCCAGATAACACACACCAATGAGTTAAACTGCAGGAATGTCTTAAAGACTTCTAAAGTGGTTGCTCACAGGGAGTTGTCTGATTGTTGGCTCTTTACACTATCGTATTAAGCGCCTTGAGGTGACTGTTGTTGTGATTTGGCTTTAGAGAAATAAAATTGAATCTAATTGAATTGAAATGAAAAAGCATGAAAGGGACTAGAAAGAGAGAGCATATATCTGCCACACTGGCTCCCTGTTAAATCCAGAATAGGGTTTAAAATTCTTCTCCTCACATATAAGGTCCTGAATAATGAGTCCCAGTATTATTTCAAAGACCTCACTATATCACTGGGTACTATATCAAAGTAGAATCGAATGAACAAGTACCCTCTCTATTCCAACATAAAGACAAATGTATGGAGTTAGTAGTTTGATCCATAGTCTGTTCATTTGACCTTTTTGATGGTTCTGATGAGTTTCAGCATTAATTACCTGAAGCTTCCCAAGACCCAACCAAATGTTTTGCTGCTGTGGCAGAAGATGCCTTCTTTTATTCAGTCTTACAAGCTGGTTAAACGTAGGCACTCACAAAGCACCTGGTTATGTCCAGGCACTGCCAGCCACCTGGTTAGAGCTAGTTCATAAAGTTCGTAGTTTGAGCTTTTGTGCTGAAAAGTTGGATGTGACAGCCACATGTGACTCAGCCCAGTCAAAGAAAACCTTTTGTGTAAATGAGACAGCGACCTCAGTACATGGCGCTGTTTTCTGTCAGGTAAAGAAGGACTGGGTTGTCTGCAGGTTTAGCTGATAATCTCTCATGATTCTTACAAAATCTTCTCGCTGTCATGGAAACGCCAACGGGCAAGAAAGACCAACAAACACCACCCTACAGTTCCATCCTTTGTTAATTCTGCTCCATGCAGCAATAATTTACATCCGACACTGAACATTGAGGTTAACGACTGATAATACCAGATTAGAAAGTTCATTCCTCTCTACATCCAAAGACAATTTTCTCTAAAGCAGACCATTTGTTAGCTTCCTTGGTTTGTCTTCTTTGGGAGCTGCATTCCAGGTAAAGGTAAGTGAATGCCACATCACCCACATGGGAACAGGTACAGTAACATATGATACTGTAAATTCTATATAAAACACTGTCTATATGAAATTAAAGGCAACTAAAATGTGCTCACATCTAAAGCAAAGTGGACTTTTCTTAGCTGCTTGCACAGATTTTGTTTTCTGGTCTCTGATTGGTTGGCTGTTTGTCAAACCAGTGAGGTAACAGATGCCCTGTCTTTAGGGGGAGGGATCTAAAGGCAGTTGAAAACAAACTGTACAAACTACAACTACACCACATCAACTCTCCCAAGACCTCTGAGATCAACCAGGACCAGGAACCATGTCCAGTTCTGGTAAATATATTTTAGTTGCATTGAGGTTGTAAACCAGCAGAGCAATGCCATTTCTCTTCCTGTTACTGTTTTCAGGTCTTATTACCCACCAGAAACTTCTCACTTATCACAGTACATCCTACACTTTTATATATTTTAATGCTAAACTTTTTCACCTGCAAACGTTAGCTTGCTGTCTTTGAGTTATTTTAGTCTTGTCTTGTTGACCTAACTTCCCAGCAACACACACATGCTGCTTCAGCTCACAATTACTGGCTTATGCTGATGTTACATTGTTACATTACTCGTTCATGCATGTGCATAAAAGTCTAGAGATTTCTGTCTGATAACTTTATCGTGAACTGACACCAAAAATGTCCAGTGTGGCAAAAATAAAGCAAAACCATGTAAATGATATTATTGTAGAGTCTAACGTCCAGTATAAAGTGACTGTTAATAAATAAAAGTGTGAGTATCACAGCAGCTTACATGTTCATTTTTAAGAGCTTTGATCAAACAATAGCTGCTATTTGCAACATTTTACGTTGTTTTGACAAAATTAATTAATTGGATGTTTTTTTTGTTTTTCCATAGAACAGCTGTTAATGGCTCATAACTGACGATTTACTGAATTATAAAGAGTTCAGCTGTAGACTGATTTCTTTGCACTGCTGAATTGATTAATTTTCTACTTAATGGTTCAAAATCTTTTGAGCTTTTACTAAGAAATTACATTCACCATGAAAGCATGGTTCACTGAGCCTTGATTACTCAATATTAAAGGAGAAATTAAATCTAATTTCTGACGTTTATCAATTTGAAAAATATGTAATTATAATATTTTGGGACTCTCTTACATTTAAAATTGAATCGTATTCCCAGGCCAGTAAACTAAAGTGTGACAATCTTCAGTGCTCCGAAAACATTTGCCATGTGTAGTGAAAGGTTTGGACCTTAAGTGTAGATTTGAATAGTAAATAAATAAAAACTAACCTTTATTTTGGCGACGATGAATTCAAACAACTGGCAGCAAACCTTATCAACAAATCAAGTGGGGAAAAATTCACAGGAAGACAAAAGACAGGAATGGAAAGCAAATAGTAACGATGAGCACATTCAAACTCAGGCTTTAAGTACACGGGAGGCCAATGTGGGAAAACGACACAGCAAGGTAGAAACAGGTGAAAGTAATCAGGTAACAAGACAAGACACGCTCACTATCTGATTCAGTCCAGGGGCTGTTTGCATAGAGCCCTGCTGCCCGATGCAGGCAGTGTACAAAGATCATCAAACGAGATGCAATTAAAGACAAACACAATATGTAACTTTTAAATTAAGGCGTTTATTATTTTGTTTGGGTGTTTGGGGGGAAACCCAAACCTGCATAGCCCTGTGTTAAAACCTGACTGCCTCCTTGCCCTGTTATAACATAAAGTAACAGTGGTGTATCACGCTGACGAGACAAAAGCTAGACTTTTTGGAAGGTGCATCTCCGGTTACATTTGGAGTAAAACTAAAAAGTCCACCTCTGAACTGCTTAAGAAAAGAAAATGAAGACTTTGGTGTGGCCTAGTCAAAGTCCTGACCCGAATCTGATGAAGCCGATTGAGATGCTGTAGCATGACAGTCAAACAGCGGCTCCAATGTGACTGAATTACAACAAGTCTGCAAAGATGAGTGGCTCAAAGTTCCTCCACAGCTGTAAAACACTCATTGCCAGTTAATGCAAATGCTGTAATAATTAACACCTTCATTTAGAAACTGCATTTTGTGTTTATTTGTGTTATCTTTGTCTAATATTTTAATTTGTTTGATGATCTGAAACATTTAAGCGTGAAAAACATACAACAAACAGGAAATCAGCAAGGCGGCCAACACTTTTCAGTTCGCTGTATAAGTTGAGAAGTCCTAAAGACTGCAACAGAACTTACATAATAATAATAATTATTATTATGTCAATATAAATTCTCCAACAGGGCCGAAGGAGCTGAGGATTGTCTTCATTGGAAAGACTAAAATGTTGACGTCACGAATTGAAGCCATCCTGAAAGAAAAGGCTGCGCAGGAAGACTTTACAATGGTTTTGGTGAAGACTCTGATCCAAGACAGTCCAAGTCAAGTCGACGAGACAGAAAACACCGAAGTGTCAAAGGAAATGCAGAAAGGAGCTACAGCATCCATCTTTTCTCCTGGTCCCCATGTGTTTCTGTTCGTGCAAGAGTGGGAGAGCGACTTTAAAATACATGACGTGGAGCGAATGAAACTGGTTAGGGAGTTCTTTGGTGACGAGTCGCTGCGTTACTTTTTACCCTTGATCACCCACGAAGATGAAGAGCTGAAACCAAAGGATAGAAATGATATAATGAATTTCATTGAGACACAATTTGGGTGTGACAAAGAGAAATGGAGTGATATTGATGTTCGTAGTGAGAAAGTCCAAGATCAGGAGAGAAAGTTAGTGGACAAGCTGAGAGAGGTGGCTGAAAACAACCAATGGGAGTGTTACACAGAGGAAATGTTCAAGAGGGCACAGGAAGCCCTCTGCCAGAAAATGCAGGAATTAGACAAGAAGGGAAGGAAAGATGATGTGAATGACACACTGACCAAATTTGTTGAGTTGGTAACTGGAGGGGGCGACTTTAGCAAGTTCCTGTTTCAAATGCAGAGAGAGGTGTCAGACTATTTCAGCAAATACACGGAGAAGCTGGCTCAGAAACACAAAAAGTGAGGATAAAAATTGGCCTCCATTCACAAAAGAATCAAAGAGTTAAGAGCAAGTTAATGAAATGACGGAAGGAAAGATGAGACTTTACTCATGAACCCAAAATGATTGATTCATTAATCCTGTTGTTATTAAATCTGCAGCTCGGTCAGAGAAACAAACAAGATATTTGATGTTTTTAATGCGAGTTATTAATCTGACAGACTCGGTTCCTCTGCACACTGAGATCAAGACAACAAATAATCATGTTTTTATATCATTATTATCATTTGCATTTTGGCAGAAGTGACATTTGGACTGGTTCAATTGGACTCCATATTTTCCAGCTGCAACATTATATTCTAAATGATTTAATGCAAATACTTCTTTTTCCTTTTATTGATGGTGAACAAGGCATAATGAGGAAAAGCAGGATATCCGTGTGCATATACGTGGGGCAGCTGTAACGTTTGCGTCTTCTGTGTGGTAAAATTGTAAAGATTAGCTCTCCATACAGATCTGAGTTCTTTCTGCGCCTCTGCTGCAGTTACAGGCAAACCTGACAACAGATGTTTTCTGGAGAAGCTGCAGCACAGACTGTGTTTTTCTTTTCCTTTGTTTTCTGAAAAACATGTTAAATGTTGAAGCCTGATGGATTTTGTGCTTCCACTCAGTGGACGTGTTCAAAAAAGAAAGATTGTTTTCTTTTTTCATTCCTTTCTATGATGTAACACAGTTAAGATGCTAATGTACGAATCAGTGTGTGAACTTATGCAGCTTCAGTCAGATAATAGCAGCAGAATCACATCAATAAATCAAACATGACTGAGACAAATCTGTTTCTCTCCTGTCATCATTCAGCTGATTAACAAATGACTCATAGAAGAAATTAACTTGAAACTTTGTCTTTTAGTTTTTGGTTGTCTGTCTCTTTGTGTTAGCCGTGCATCAGGCTGGCCACCTGTCCAGGGTCTGCTCCGCCTCTCGCCCTACGTTAGCCCCCCGCGACCCTGACGGGGATAAGTGGAAGAGGATGGATCGATGGTTTTTAGGGACCTGAGTGTAAACGTGTCTTTCTTTAAAGCACTTTGGGTCAGCTTCTGTTCATTAAATTTGTTATGTAAATAAAATGGACTCGACATTAAACACAAATGGCTCTAATATTCAGACGTAACAGATTCATTCTTGATGTTTGAGGTATGTTTTTTCATTTCCAATAAAATTATTGAACACAATCCAGTGGACTGAATTTACTACCTGAGTGTCTGGATATAGTCTGCAGGTAATCAGTCTGAGAAGTAACAGCTGTCAATAAACATAACTCATGCTGAATACTTGGCATCCGTTATGAATGAAACATTATTTTCAGCACTGTCGAAGCTACCTGGTAATTCTTTGCTTCTCTGGAGGGACTGTGACAGTGACCTCTGACCTCTGTGCTGAGGGTGTGCGTCTGAAAAGTTTCCATCGTTTTTCTTCTTTTCTTTTGCTGCTTGTTTGCTGCTGTGCTCAGTGCTGCTGAGTCACATGACCACAGAGGGGGGCGGAGCAAGGTGTGTCTGCATTAAGGGAGCAGAGGTTGCACAGATGATGAAGAGCAGCCACGTACTGACCTTAGAGAAGGCGAATCACTGAAGTACTGATGCCATCACCCTAGTAACGATCTGACATCAGTACCAGTGTTGTATCAATACTTTAAATATTTAGATCGATCGACCCCTAAACGCACTGCAGTCGACCTCTCCACCACCTCCAAGATGAGCCCAGGATGTGCCGGTCCATGTGGCCCATGCAGGCTACACCCAGAGGGGCTCACTGTGTTTCGCTTGGCTCTCTGCAGAAAAGCTGCATTGCACTCAAACAGCTACTGGAACTGATCGCAGACACTCAGAACACCTGTGATTACACCTGATGGCGTTTCACATGAAGCACAGCGCAGCTGAGAAGGACAGGAAGTGAGGCACAGAATGTCATGGGTCTGGTTGTGGGTTTAGGATTCTTGGTTTGGTCTTCATACGTTGATTTATTAATATTTATGTTTTATTTAGTATTTTGGAGTCTATAGTTGCTGTTATAATTAAATCTAGTGTTAGACTTTCTCTTGTTCCCTCAGTGTTCGCATCCTGTTCTGTCAGCTCCCCTATGTTAAGTTCATGCACAGGTCTGCATTTTCCCATTTCTCACTTCCTGTTTTATTTTGATGGTTACTGGTCTTTATTGTCTTCATTTTGTCTGCACCAGCTGTGTCCACTTTGTCCCAGCATCTGTTGCTGTGCCTGGTGTCTTATTCATTTTATGGGCTGTGAGATTCTGGAGTCTGCTTTTGGCTGTAATAAAGGTTCGTGTCTGTCTGCCCTGAGTCTGCATGTGCATCCTCGTGAAGGAAGGCATAGATAATTCAGTCACTGCTTAAAATCACCCACATTACACAGACTCAGATGAAATGCTTGCTGGATATTCGTCATATCTTAAAGTATCTTATTATCTTAAAACATAATTCTTCATTCTCAGCTCTTTGTTGTTGTTCCCAGGATATTTAAAAGTAGAACGGGAGGCGGAGCCTTCAGCTTCTGTGGAGACAGACACTATCTCTACTTTCAAGATCGTTTGTCTGTTTTCTCTTTCAGCTGCTGTTTGTCTTTCAGCTGTGTTGGTGATCACTGTGATTTTTTTGTGCTGTGGCCTACTTTGTCCCTTTCTCTCAACTTTTCTTCTCCTTTCTTCCTTTCTATAGAGTACGGAGCCCCGCAGGGGACATGGGAGAAAATAAAATTAAGACGGACTTTTATTTATTTACAGTGATTCTCACAAGTGCAATATATATATACAAAGGTGTTCGGGAAAAGGGTCCGGGGTCCGGGGTCCAGGACTGACAGGGGGAGCAGTCCAGGGTGGAGGCTTTCCATACACAAACAACAGCTCCTCTCTGCACCACCACTCTTCTTGCCCACGCTCAGTCACAGTTGCTCAGGGAACGGGTCCAGGGGAGATCTACACACATACAGAGAGACAGTCAGCTTCCAGGTTCAGAAGTACTCACGAGTTCAAATTACAGGTTTGCAGGGCGACTGATGCTGACGGCTCAACGATCCAGCGAAGAGTAGAGCAGGTCCACCATCCTAAGTAGGGCTCTAATTCTCGTGATCAGCGGCAGGTGTGCTGATCATCCCCAGGTGCATGGCCCAGGGGCGGAGCCCATACTGAGCTCCGCCCCGGCAGGAGAAAGAAAGAGAGAGCAGAGAGAGAGAGGAGAATAAACAAAACAAAACATAGCGCCAGACTGATGTCAGCTGGCGAGGTGCGGGGACCATGACAACTTATTTGCACATCATCTTTTATGTAAAAACAAAAAATTACTTGCACTTTAATTTGCATTATTTATTTGATTTGATTTATTTGATTTTTAATGTGACGGTCACATTAATGTTAAAAATACATTTCACTAGTTTCAAAATCATTTCTTCCATGTGTCATTATTTTATTTGCTGTGGGCGGTGAGGTACAGCATGAACTGGAGCCTAGAACAGAAGGTGTGCCCACGGAAGGCGGAGATCTTGGAAATTAGATTTTTAATTTCAATGGGATATTTACCTGTTTAAATAAAGGATTATTAAAAAAAATAACAGAAATGAGTGATTGAAACAATAGTAGACTAATCGACTAATCAAAAAATCTGCTGACAGATTAGTCGACTACTAACATATTCTTTAGTTGCAGCCCTAGACATCCACTCCAGGGAATATTGCCACCTCAATACTCCAAAGCAGCAGCCTGAAGAAAAATGATAAAATAGCACAATCCTAGCTGTCAGTCCAAATGGCCACGACCCTGATATTACAAACTTCAATACAATTAAAACAGGTGAGTTATAAAAACATGTATCCCTGTGCAGGTGTTATGAAGGGGGACAATTTCTATAGAGACCAGAACAGTTTCTGTATCAGGCTGTACAGCTGTGCATTTTAATCTGGAAGTCTATGGGGACTGACTCGTGCCCCCAGTGGACATTGGAGGAATTACACATTTTTGTGCATTTTTTCACAACGAATTTGTGGCGCTACAGCTGTGCCAGTGTTGGTATTTGCCAGTACAGAGGGGTTTGCTACCTATGCAAATGGGCCTGCATGCAGTCATCCAAAAACCCAACATGGATGAGAGCCCGTTGTCATTCCTGACGCATAACATACACACAGAAAAATAAAGGTGCCAACTGGAACCAAAAGTGGTTCTTTAGACTGATGCCATAGAAGAACCTTTTTTGGTGCCACAAAGAACCTTTCAAACAATGGTTCTTTGAAGAACCATTTCTTTCAGTGGTTCATTGAAGAACCATTAAAGGTGCCCCAAAGAACCATCAAGAAATGGTTCTTTGGGGCA